CTTTCATATTGGATAAGAAATGAAGTATGTTAGTCAATGAAAAAGAGATAGAGGACTAAATATAATTTCTACTGTTGTAAATATTTGAATGGTTGTAAAATAATAGTTGAAAGTTTATTTTTTTTTTTAAATCACCTGCTATTGTAAATAGTTTTTTGTGATTTAAAGAATCACTGTGGAAGCTGGGCACCAGTGGCTCATTTGCCTGCAATCCTAGCTACTCAGAGGGCAGAGATCAGGAGGATTACAGTTCAAAGCCAGCCCAGGCAAATAGTTCCTCAAGACCTATCTTGAAAAAAAAAAATCACAAAAAAGGGCTGGTAGAGTGGCTCAAGGTAAAGGCCCTGAGTTCAAACTCCAGAACCGCAAAAAAAACAAAAAAAAAACCCCCAAACTTTTTAGGATAGAGAATTTTTGAAACAATGTTGGAGAAAATCAAAGGTAACCAATCAGCATTGACACATTTTTTTTCCTTTTCAGACTCCTGCCCTAGGCTTTCTAATTTTCATTAGGTGCTGTAACACGAACAGAGTTAGAAACTACTATTCTAACCTGGGTCCCTTAACTGATTTGTGAGGAAACTGGAGCTCAGAGTTGAATGACTTGTCTAAGGTCACAGAGTTAATCACTTCCTTTCTACACCTGCTCCTGCCTCTGATTCTCTGAGCCTTAACCATAGATCTGTGATACATCACCTGAGTCCAAATCATATCACGTTGACTTCTCATTGTCTGCCATGTTGCACCCAGTGTGAATCCCCTCCCAGGTTTAAGGAACTCGTCCCATTAGGAGGGAAGGAGGTATAGACTGTTGGCATGTCAAGTCTGGTGTCCCCTGTGGCTTAGACACATACACCCCCAGACTTTTTTTTTTTTTTTTGCAGTTCTGGGGTTTGAACTCAGTCTATACCTTGGAGCAACTCCACCAGGTTTTTTTTTGTGAAGGGATTTTTCAAGATAGGGTCTCGAAAACTATTTGCTTAGGCTGGCTTCGAACTGAGATCCCTGATCTCTGCCTCCTAAGTAGCTAGGATACAGGCCTGTGCCACCAGTGCCTGGCTGTCCCAGCCTTTTTAATTAGTTTATTTATGGGTTGGGGATTGAACCCAGGCCTCATGCATGTTAATCATGCCCTCCACTCAGTCTCTTAACCAGAATCAAGAGCTGTGATAACAACAAAAAATAGAACAAAAGAAAGCAACAGCATTTGTTTTCCATATGAAACACCCTCCTTACTAAGGAAGCTTTAATTAGCAAGTGACCAGTTCATCTTGGATGGAGGTCAATCTCTCCTCCTAGTCAAGCCAGTGCCTGCCTACCGAGGTCATGAGCAAAGTCTGGTTTGCATAGTGCAGTCATTATCACGTTTGCCTCACCAAGTGGCCACTAGGACTGAGGCCACGATGGCCCATCTGGCTGAGCTGGCACTGCCACTGATGCGTGTCTATTTTAGAGGAATTATTTCTGATGGACTTATAAATGGTAGGGAGACAGTCGGCAACCTCATGGGAAGAGTCTTATACTGAACTCAGATCTGCTTTTCCCACTAGCCATTCTCTTTCCACATCAACCCCATATGGGTTCACTGAATCCCAACTTAATAACGCCGTGTCCACACACTGTGGCATCTGCCTGAGGAACAAACTTATGTGGAAGGACCGTCTTACTACGTTCAGTAACCTCCCAGTGTACCCCAACAACCAGAAGTGGTTAGCTTCTCGGAAACAGTGGCACAGCCTGTGGAACACTGAGCTTCTCAGGCTGATGGAAGCAGCTTAAGCACTTGGGTTCCATTGAGACTCAGAACCAGCCTTCTGGACATGTCCCCATCCTTCTCAGGAGTTCCTTTCTGATTAAATGAGCCAGAGTCAGTTTTTCTGGTTTACAACTAAAAGCTCTAATACAAAAGCACCTCTTCTTGTGCTACATGTTGTATTTTTAAAAAATTTGGTAAATAGACTTCTCCACTAGCACATTGTAAGATTTGAAGGCTGAACCACTTTTAATATCTTGTATTCCCTACATACATAGCACTGTACTTTACAAAGTGTAGGATGCAGATCATAGACTTGTAGGCTCTGGGCTATTGCTGTAAAGCATACATTTTGATCAATCTGAAGTTTTTTCTTTTCTTTTGGAGGTACTGGAGTTTGAACTCAGGGCTTCATGCTTCCTAGGCAGGTGCTCTATCACTGAGCCACTCTGTCAGTCCTGTTTTGTGTTGTTTATTTTCAGATAGGGTCTCATACTATCTGCCCAGGCTGGCTTCAACTGTGATCCTCCTACCTCTGCCTCCTGAGTAACTGGTATACAGTTGTGACCACCAGCACCTGGCTACCTGAAAGTGTTTTTTAAAATGTGACATACACTGGGCAATATGCCCACTGGGAATATGCCTTCTAGTGCTAGCCCCAGGAGGCTGAGGTGGGAGGATCATTTGAGCCCAGGAGTTTGAACTAGACTGGGCAATGTTGTGAGAAGCCCCCAGTCCCCCTACTCAAAAAAAAAAAAAAAAAAAAAAAAAGAGCCAGGTGTGATGGCACATGTCTGTAATTCCAGCACTCAGGAGGCTAAGGAAGAATTGGAGTTTGAGGTCAATCTGGGCTGTTCACAGATAGCAAGACACTGTCTCAAAAGACCAAAATTGAGTAGTGTAGCGCGCCTGCCTAGCAAGTGAGAAGCCCCTGAGTTTAAACCTCAGTACCACCAAAAACCAAACCAAAACAAAATCAACAGAACAAAAAACCCAAGAAGACCTTAGTGCCAACATTTAAAAATCTCAGAGAAAAAAAATTTCAGAAGGAAATCTACATTTTCACAGTTCCTTGAAAGTCTGATCATTTTAGGCCTGCATTCTCAGAGCTGCCCCTTCAAACAAAACAGGACACTTACTGCTAAGGTCCTCATTGCTCACTTTTTCTTTTCTTTTTTGGCAAGTTTTTGGTGGGACTTCAGGTTTTGAACTCAGACTTTGCACTTGCAAAGCAGGCTCTCTACTGCTTGAGCTACACCTGCAGTCCATTTGCTCTACTTATTTTGGAGATGGGGTCTCATGAGCTATTTGCCTGGGATGGCCTTGAATGGTGATCCTCATGATCTAAGCCTCACAAGTAGTTAGGATTACAGGTGTGAGCCACCAGCTTCATCTTGCTTATTTTTTACTGAATAATGTAAGATTGCCACTGCTGATGATCAACTGAATGACTAAATTAATTTAGCAATTAGTGCTTCTAATTTCCATTTCATATATGTTCAATTCTCCTAACCAAAATGTAACAAGCCATTTGGTGGACAGTCTATTAATTATTTTTGTATAAATTACTTTTTGGTTTCACATTTCAACAAATAATATGTTTACTAACCTCTCTCCTTTTTTTTTTTTGAGGCCGGTCTTACTATGTACTGGCCTTGAATTCACCATCGTCTACTTCAGCCTCCTGGAGTGCTGGATTTACAGGTGTATACCAACACACCTAGTGCTGGGGCAGAGGATCGTGAGTTCGAGACCACCTGGCCTGGCTACATATCAAAACCTGCCTGAAAAAACAAAACACCAAAAAAAAGAAACAAATTAAACAAACCCTAAAACAATTCTCTTCATTCCCAGAGCTGACCTTGACCGCTCTGGGCTGAGTCCCCGACTTGGGGTCTAGGATGGCGTGTGCCCGAATATAATATTCATCACCCCACGCTTCACTTGGGGTGTAGGATGTGCGTGTGCCCGAATATAATATTCATCACCCACGCTTCACTCGCTGGGCTAGGCTGAGGAAAAAGAAATTACAATGATTCCCGGTATCATCAGGTTTCGGCGGATGCCCTCTTTCCCCGTGGCAGAGGAGGGCTGGCGCGTTCCTGCGGAGTTGCTAGCGGGACTGTGGAAAAGGCGAGGGTCTGGGAAGCGGCGAATGCCACGCTCTGCAGTTGATGGGAGGTTTCCCGGGCGGGGACGACATGCAACAAGTCCCAGAGGCCTCCCTTACGAGGCCGGCAGCCCGAGTGGGGTTCCTGGCACAGTCCCGGAGCACTTGTCATTGGGATCAAATTTCAGGACTCTAGATCCACGCCTTCGGGGTGTTGCATTTCTGGGGCTCGCCTCCTCGCTCCCCTCACACCTAATTTTGCTCGGTGCTGCCTAGTAACCTCGGTCGCCCTCCTCCGCGACACCCTCTTCCAGCTCTTTCTGCATCAGTGTCCCAAGAGGATGATACCTGGGGATTCCCCCCTTACTGTCTCAGTCGGGACGCGGACACTGGGGAGGAGGTCCCGCCGAGTTCGAGCTCTTAGCGGGGGCTTTCGTCCCCGAGGTTTCGGGCTGGGGGCGTTCGGCGAGTGGCTCGCCCCTCTCCCGGCACTGCTAACGCTGGCGATCCGTCCTCCGCTGAGCCCCGACGACCCCCGAGGATCCCAGTCGTCCCCGGCTCCCCCGGCTCCCTGCCCCCGACGCGGCGCTCCCGCGCGCCCCCTAGCGGCCTGCCGCGCTGCCTCGCTCCGTCCCAGGCTCGTCGGCGGCGCAGCTCACGTGACGCGCTCCCGGCCTGCGGCCGCTGTCGGTTCCCCCAGTCACCGAGCGAGGGAGGAAACAAGATGGCGGCTGAAGGCGATCCGGAGTGGGGCCCCAGCAATTCGGACTGAGCTTTCTCCCTCCACCCGCTTCCGCCGGCCGGGCCCCTCCCCCGGCCCCGCCGGCCACCCCACCCGGCCCGGCGCCCCCCCACTATCACCGCGCCCCTCCCCCTCCGCTTTCCCTTCTCCCCCCGCCCTCCACCTCCACCTCCACCTCCCCCCTCCCGCCCGCCGCGGCTCCGACATGAGGGGCCGGCGGGGCCCCAGGGGGGGCAGCAGCAGCCGGAGGAAGCCGCCGCCGCCGCGCCGCCGCCGCCTGCCGGCCCCCCCAGCAACCAGCGCCCGGGCCGGGGGGGCGAGGAGGCGGGGGCGGCAGGACGGGGGGCGGGGGCGGCCACCTGGCCCCGGACCACCCCGGCCCGCAGGGCCGTCAACAAAGTGGTGTACGATGACCACGAGAGCGAGGAGGAGGAGGAGGAGGAGGAGGACATGGTCTCGGAGAGGAGGAGGAGGACGGCGACGCCGAGGAGACCCAGGATTCCGAGGACGACGAGGAAGATGAGATGGAGGAGGACGACGATGACTCCGATTATCCGGAGGAGATGGAAGACGACGACGACGACGCCAGCTACTGCACGGAAAGCAGCTTCAGGAGCCATAGCACCTACAGCAGCACTCCAGGTACCCACCCGGCCGGGCCGGCCGGGCCGCGCGCACTCCTCCTCCCCTCCCCCTCGCTCGCTCTCTCGCTCGCTCCCCTGTGCTGTGCATCCCAAGCCCATGTGTGTCCGCCTCCCCCCGCCCCCCACTCAAGCCAAGGGGACCCGCGACGGCACGTCCAGTGGCAAAAACTCGGTTTGCAAGAGGAAAGAGGCTCATTGTTCAAAAATGGAGATTGCATTGTTGCACTTTGCAGGCCATTCGCTGCTCGCTCTTCTTTCTCAACCCAAGCCCTCTTCTCTCTCTCTCTCTCTCTTTTTTTTGGACCTCCGTCGTCTAACAGAATTTGGGGCAGTGCAGTGTCTCCAAGCAGGATGGAAACTTTGGCACTCATCCATTGTGTTCGTTTTCCTCCCCTTGTTTTGGTGTGGTGTTTTTGGGGTGAAAGATGCCTCTTGTTTGGCAAACCCTTGCATTTTTAATGTGGTTTCGTGTGGATTTCTTTTTATTATGATTGGCTGTTCCTTAAAAGGGAGTTAAGGGTTTAGAGAGTGTGGCACCCAAACGCTCGCAACACACGCTTGCCTTCGCACCCCTAGTCGTGCGGTTGAAAACCGGGGTGGCGGGGAGCCGGGTCTGGTCCTGGGCGTGCGCCTGTGTCCTCCCGGGCTCATGGGCGCATGCAACAGTTGCTGGCAAATGGCTGATTAAAAAGCAAAGCAAAAAGCAAAAAAAAAAAAAAAAAAGAAAAAGAAAAATTGGCAATTCATCCGTCTCAAAATCAATTTTGGTTAATCCAAAATCAAACTACACAGCGGCAGGGCCGTGCGTGCTACTGGATCGGGTGCCTGGCTTCGCCGGGGACCGCGGTTTCGGGGCACCTGTTGCAGAAGATGGGTTGGTGACCGACCGTCCCAGACGTAATTGCTGGAGATGGACTTTGGAAGGCACGCACGGCGCAAGATCGGGTTTATGACAGTACTCTTTCTTTTCCTTATGTTTTGGAGGAACGAGCCCCCCCCCCCCGAGATGTGTAGTGAATATCTCCGTGGTGACGTCTCTCCTGTTTTCTCACAGAAAAAGTTTCCCAGGCTGGTGCCGATGCGTTCGGTCTAAAAAACAAAAAGCCACACACAGTTGCTGCTTTGTATTAAATACATAGCTGTGGTTTCCTAAAATTGTGAAAAAAACATAACTTGTATCAACAACCTGTCAGGCCTTTTTGTTTTTGTTCACTGGGATTAACCAAAATTAGAGTCTAATTTTAAGAGCATTTCCAAAGTAAAGTTTGAGGAAATAGGATCTTAAAGCAATTAATGTGTGTCATGTCATTTTCAGAGACTAGGATAAAATGGTTAAATTAAATGTTTCAATTTTTTTGAATAAATGCTTAAATTCTTATCGGGAGAAATATGGGTATTAAGCCAGATGCAAACCCCATTTAGAGTGTCCGCACGTCAGGTGAAAAAAGGTAACTCCTTGCCTGCCAGTGAGAATAGTTGTGTGTCTTCTGGGCGAGGAACGGAGAAGGAAGGGAGAGAAGCCAGTGTTGCGTACTTATGCCTTGTGTGCAGCTGGGACTGCACAACTTAGTTTTAGTGCATCTCTTATAGTAATAGGTTTACATTAAGAAATCACATGTCCTCTTTGTACCAAAGGCCGGAATTGAAACCTGAAGACTGAATTACATACACCACTAGAGGAAGTTTTTCAAGTTAGAACTCAGGTATTTTGGCAGGGCAGTTCAGCTAAGTTTAATTTCTGCTTGAAGGCCTGATCCATAATATTATACTGATGGTTGTGCTTATGCTGAATTAAGTTACATTTGTGTCTAGGCTTCCTTTTTAACAACAACAACAAAGTTGTATGTTATTATATTTGGGTGGCATTTTTTTCCCAGTGACACTTGTAGCCTGCCTTGTGTCTACTTGTCCTATATTTCCGTGAACTTTATGAACTCCTCAGGTATATGTGTTGATCTTAACTGTGGCTTCTGACACTGTGCTTGCACATGGCAGGTGTTCATGAAAGACTGGGTGGATAAATTATTGCTAGGAGGTGAGAACTGGAAGTAGATGAAGATTTGGGAGTTCTGCAATGGGTGCCATAACTGAGATATTAGGAATTTAGGAGACAAGAAGCTGGTCTAGTTAGATTTTGATACACAGTTTGACTGGGGAATGTTTCTAATAAGATACTTCATATTGCTTGCTAGGTGTTTTCCTTTCTTTGTTGGGTGTGGAGTTAACTTGGAGGTGTTCCGTTTTGTTGTTGTTGGTACTGGGGTTTGAACTCAGGGCCTTGCACTTGCTTGGTAAGTGCTCTACTGCTGGAGCCACACCCCTAGCCCTGAGGTTTTGCCTTTTGAAACACATTATTTCTCAAGATTATGGTAAAATAGATGGTACATTTTGTGTTCTAAACTTTTAGAATACTAGCTAGAACGAGCCTGGGTTGTCGATGCTGAGTACTACTTTCATCATTCATACTGTCTGTACTTCTGGGAGGAAGGCTGTCAGGTAAATGTGCGCGTGTATGGATGGCGAAAGTAGCCCTAGAGCATTGCAAACAGAATTGGTAGATCTGAATCCTAGTGCACTGTCATTGCTAAAAGAGGAATTTTCTTTATTGGTAATTTAGAATAATTTGGTTAGTTTTGTAGTTTAGATTGTTGACTTAAGTACTAACATTAAATTCCTAGTATAAGAAGTACATTTGTTTATCTGTTGAGTACTTTGTAGGTAGTGTTAACTGTTGGTGCAAAGCCATTGGTTGACATTGCTCAAGTAATAGGTCTTTTAAAAGTTTATTTATTGGAAATTGTCTTCCTTTTATGGAGAAAAATTTCAAATGGATACCTAAAGTGTTTACATGACACATAGTACTGTAGGGATGTCAACTTGTTAATAAATTGAAATTATTCAGTTGCTTAAGCTGGAGCATTTTATTAATTTATTTTTATTTCACCCAATAGAACATACTTTGCCAATACAATGAAAAGGATAGAGAATTTGTCCTCCGCCATGTATCCCCACCCCTTTTGCAGTACTGGGGATTGAACCCAGGGCCTCTCACATGCTGGGCAAGCACTGAGATACACCACCAGCTTTTATTCATGGTTTTTTTGAGACAGGCTCTTGCTAAGTTGCCTAGACCTTGAATTTGCAGTCCTCCTGCCTCTGCCTACCAGGTAGCTGTATGTGTGCTCCCATGCCTGGCAGTATTAAAGTTCAGCTACACTTTGAAATTAAGCATCTGATTTTTAAAAATCAAGTTAGAATTGAAGCAGAATGATTCTTGCATTTAACTTGTGAGACTTCTGAGAATACGTACCTGGAAGTTTGAAATTTGGAACCTCTAATGACTTCAGAAAACAAAAACTCTGGTGTTGTTCCCGGAGACTTAATGACTTATGTCTTCTGAGGATTAATTATGCCAGTGGGGATCGGTGGCAGAGAGCATGAACCATAGATTCCTCCAAAACAGTTGCTTGCTGGTTTGGCAGTTTTATTCCCACCACTGTTACCCAAATACCTTTTCATTCTACCTATAATTTCTGATTGCAACAAGTGAGGAACAAAGTACAGTGGAGATTTAAAGGAAGGCAAGTTCATATCTACTGGTGTGTGTGTGTGTGTGTGTGTGTGTGTGTGTGTGTGTGTGTGTGTGTGTGTGTGTGTTTTCAGATGCTTCCTGCGTGTGTGTGTGTGTGTGTGTGTGTGTGTGTGTGTGTGTTTTCAGATGCTTCCTGCACCAGCAAGTTCATATCTACTGGGTGTGTGTGTGTGTGTGTGTGTGTGTGTGTGTGTTTTCAGATGCTTCCTGCACCAGCAAGTTCATATCTACTGGGGGGGTGTGTGTGTGTGTGTGTGTTTTCAGATGCTTCCTGCACCAGCAAGTTCATATCTACTGGGTGTGTGTGTGTGTGTGTGTGTGTGTGTGTTTTCAGATGCTTCCTGCACCAGCAAGTTCATATCTACTGGTGTGTGTGTGTGTGTGTGTGTGTGTGTGTGTGTGTGTGTGTTTTCAGATGCTTCCTGCACCAGCAAGTTCATATCTACTGGTGTGTGTGTGTGTGTGTGTGTGTGTTTTCAGATGCTTCCTGCACCAGCAAGTTCATATCTACTGGGGTGTGTGTGTGTGTTTGTTCAGATGCTTCCTGGTGTGTGTGTGTGTGTGTGTCAGATGCTTCCTGTGTGTGTGTGTGTTCAGATGCTTCCTGCACCAGCAAGTTCATATCTACTGGGGTGTGTGTGTGTGTGTGTGTGTGTGTTCAGATGCTTCCTGGTGTGTGTGTGTGTGTGGTCAGATGCTTCCTGCACCAGCTTGTGGATTGTAAGGACAGAGGCAGGAGAGAGGGATCGAGCAGCACCAACTCGGGCACTGATATAGTAAGGTGTGGGCCTTAAGTCACAAGTGAGTCTTTGAACAGGAACTAACCTGTAAAGCTCCATGTGTGCTAGTGGGCAGTTCCCTCAAGAAGCAGGCTATAGCAGTCACAGTTTCCCTCCCATCTGTGGAATAAGGATTGGGTCAGATCGATGATCTGAATTTTTTGCTCCTGGAAAACCTAAGGGATTCCGTTTCCCGGTCAGCACCATACATAAGCAGGAAATAGGACCGCACTAGTTCTCAGAGATCCTGTTAAGCCACTGGTATAGCCCCTTCCCCAAACTGAGAGTTAGACGAGAGGTAGTGTGAAGCCCTCAAACCTGTTTCATAGCTGCTTAACTTGGGGTGAACGGGGTCATTCAGAAGACCTGGAGACAGTAGGACATGACCTCAGTGGTGTGCTAGGAAGTTTAGCCTGACTCCCGTTCTGTAGGGTGGATTGGAGGAAGATGGGTGCAGAAAGGATCTGGATGGGTTTTGTAGCCCTGGATGGAGTATCAGTGCAGGAGTTTTTTGGTCTTGACCCATCATAAGTGTATTCTGAGTAAGGCATTACATATGCCTCTGTAAGAACACAGCGTTTGGTAGCACTGGGGAAGTCAAGATTATGAGGGAAATGAGTGAATCGG